AAAAAATGAGTAGCACATATTGTTGGACCTCATGAATGTCTGTGGAGCAGCAGGGATATTTCTAGAATTAGTATTTTACATGTCAGTTCATACTACTGTCAACACAACAGCTTAGTTTTTCTAGTTTTTTCTTAGTTTTTATGTGACTAGGAGCATTTCCTAGTGGACCCAAGACAAGATCTTTTATAGAAGACACTGCATTTAAGCATTTACTGGTATCTGATTTCTTCCTTCCTCATCTCAAATGAATGTCAGGGCTAAAGTGAAAATAAAACTCTAGTGTGGGACAGTATTCTGTTCCAAGGCAGATCTTTTTATATGTGTCCTTCTCATAGTCCCCTAATCTGCCCCTTTCTCTCTTCATGGCCCTAGTCAGGGTAGTAGGAGTTAAAGTATAGACTAGATTGGTGGGAAAGTTTTTGTTAAAGCTCATGTTAAAAACATTATATTGAGTATTATAAATGAGTTAGTTATTAAATTAAGAAAAGAAAAATCTACTACCTAACTACTTTGGATTCTTTTTTTTGGGGGGGGGTTAAGACAGGGTTTCTCTGTGTAGCCTTGGCTGTCCTGTACTCACTTTGTAGACCAGGCTGGCCCCAAACTCATAGAGATCTGCCTGCCTCTGCCTCCCCAGGTGCTGGAATTGCAGGTGTGCACCACCATGCCCAGCTCTTTCATTTTTTGTTATTTTTTTCTTACATGTTTGTACAAGGATTTAAGTATCAAAGGTGCTAGACAAATATGCAATATTTTTAGAGCACAGAAACAAATCCTGAAGCTAAGATACAGCCTGGGTTTTTATTGGTTACCTAGGAAAGAAAAGGGAATAAAACAGACAGGAGAAAAAGCCAGTACCTATAAGACACACCTGAGACATGTACAAAGATAAAAGCTGAAAACTCAGTAATCTGGGGCTCAGATAGGTGATTTTTCACTTTCTGTCCTCCATTAAGATCTCTCAAGCTCTTTTTTGTGATACCTCCTAGTCAGCTATATCAAGATAAAACTAAGTATCTCTTCCTCCTAGCTACTGGCTGTCAGAAACTCATTAAAGTGAACATTGAGTACAAATTTGGTACTTTCTATGAGAAGCACATGGTCATAGAAGTTGCTGTTGATGTTCTGGGTGAAGAGTGGAAGGACTGGGTTGTCTGAATCCATGGTGAGAATGACAAACAAGGTCTTCTCATGAAGCAAGGTTTCATGCCTTTCATCAGAGTATGTTCTTGTTATAGACCAAGAACTGGAGACAGGAAGCACAAGTCTGTTCATGGATGTATTGTGGATGCCAATCTGAGCATCTTCAACTTGGTTATTGTAAAAAAAATAAAAATAGAGAGAAGGATATTACATAAGAAGGATATCTTTGTGCAAACATGTAAGACAAATAAATTAATAAATAGAATAGAATAGAATAGAATAGAATAGAATAGAATAGAATAGAATAGAATAGAATAGAATAGAATAGCATACAGTAGGATAGAATACTACTGTGCTTCATAGGGCTCAAAAAAGCTAAAACAATCCAAAAGCTTTTCACTAAAGAAGATAGTACCTACCAATATATTGTAAGAAAGCCTTTATACAAAGAAGGTAAGAAGCGCAGGGTCAAAATGCCTGTTACTTCACTGTCCTGCAACTGCAACACCAACATACTGCTCTGAACAAACAATACACAAAGAAAAACACGGAGGCAGCTGCAGAAGAAACTAAACTCTTGACCAAGATGATAAAGTAAGCCTGGAATAGATTACCAAGAGACATGGGCTGTCCTCACTGAGTGCTTCTACTTAGTCTGAATCTGGTCAAAAGGAAGCCATTAAGAGTAAAATAAATAAATAAATAAATGATGATCAGATCTTGAAAAATAAAATTAAAAAAAATCTCTTCAGATATATTTTTAGTCCTATAGCAGCTTGCCTGCAGGAGCCCCCCCTCCCACCCTACTTCCATTTCCTGGGGACTCTGATGCAGACCCAGCTTAACACTTTGTCAAAGGCCCTCTTAGCTTTGTCTTTTAA